CTACTCGTGGGCGGCAGCACCTCACCGCGGTGAGCCCCCCACAGACGGCTGAAGGTGGACCGGCGTTGGACCGGCGAGCGGTGCCGGACGTCCCTGTTCGATATGCAGGGTCGGCGCCACTAACAGACGGCCTTGTCGCCGACAAACAGACCGACCGATCGGCCCGGCGCCGGCCGGTCAGTCACGCTACTGCCGGCCCGCCGGCGGGTGATGTCACTGGATCGATGACGTCACTGGAACGACCAGCGCTGAGCGCAGACTGTCTCCAACCCGGACCGAGGACCGGAAGGCGCCGGCTGCGTGTTATCATCAGTCGACAGAGGGTGTCAGTGTCAGGAGCTCTAGCACACGTGCTGCCAACACGCGACTACCTTACAAGGAACTCACTCATTTAGGGAGCCGACAACGCATGGCGCCATAGCGAACATCAAAAAGACGAAAAATGGCATCACGCCTCATCGGCAGCCATATTAATTAGACCGAATTTTCCACAAAAAACATGAATGCATGATGTATGCTTTTATCTCTGACATAATGTATGTTGATGTTCATATCATATTACCGGTGGCGGATGCCCAACCAGGAAAATGCGGTCCTTAGCTCCACCAATCTACAAATACCAACCTGGCCGGCCGTTGGGCGGGTATTCCGACGTTCTACCTATCAGAGAAAAAAAACGTCTCGTCGACACATTTTCCAGCAACGTTTCTTGCGAACCAGCGAGCTGCTGTACTCATGGAAGAAACTACACGTTTGTGAAATGTCCTATGTCCGGGTGCGTATCCATGGTACACTCGAAGCCTGTATCGTAAAGCAGCACGGCGCACTTACCCCGGGTCCTTCTGCATGATGCTGGCCAGGCTGATGGCGTTCATCCACTCGGTCATCTTCTCCTTGGTGTCGCAGGCGAAGTAGTAGGTCCGCATGTTGGCGTGCTCGATACGGAACGAGAACTTGCGGTGCACCCTGTCCTCGGCCGAGACGGGACAGACGCGGTAGGAGGGCAGCGTAATAGAGCCCAGCAGCTTGTCCTCACGGGCGTCTGCGAAAACAGAGGCAGGCAGGCAAGCGGTCAGAACCATGCGGCGGTACAATGTAATTAGATCACACATGCAGCACATGACTGGCGTCGTGGATTGGAACACAGGTATGGACCCACAATCAGATCCAGGACCCGAAGTACAAATAAACGGTCGTTAGTGAAAGTCACAAATAGGATATGTGTAGAAGGCTACAAGCATGTCTTTCTGACGGGAATGCCGCCTGTGACAGCGGGCGCCCTTCATCAATCCTGAGGTCCTTTGGCTGCCCCGTGCTCCGTTATCCTGTGGTCCCGTGTGGTACCTGATCCCATGGCCCTCTGATCCCCGTGGCCCTCCCGTGGTCCTTGCACCGTGAGCCGACCCGACGCCCAGCTGACGGGGGCACGGGTCGGCAGAACCCACCGACTTGGCAAACAATGGACTGATCACCTGGCACCGAGAGGGGCACAGGTAGAGGGACCGTCGGGACAGAGAGAGGGGCGGAGAGAGGCGGGGTGGGCGGAGGACGCCCGCCGCGCCGGCCCGGGACGGACCACTGGCGCCGCCCAGCGGCAGTCGTCTGCACTACGCCTCCAGAGCCACAGAGTCACCGCCAGCGCCGCATCGCTGAAGTAGCAGCGTGATCGCCAGAGGGCAGAAGATGGCGAACGCCAACATGTGCAAAAAAAGAAACAGATGCTGGTGCGACCACTAATGTATCTGATTAGGCCTAGGGGATACGTGGGCTCTAAGCAGCCCACAGAGGGCCTTAAGGGAAGTCAGAAAGTGATAAGACGTCCTTCACGTATCGCGGCCTCACGACGCTATGGACCCCATAATGCGTAGGAGACGAGGAACAATGAACACCTCGACTGTTCGAGCCACTCTCCGAACAGCTGACATGAATGCTGATTAGTCCCGCTCATTGGTCTGATCACCAGTCACGTGAGTGGCTTCTGGAATTCCCGTCTCAGTGATGGTGGATTACAGTTCGATGTAATCGACTCCATTACCGGTGATAAGACGGGATGACAGCACCTGCGCACACACAAATCCTCCCGAATCTGTCGTGCATATTCAGACACACCGCCTTCAGGTTTCACGGATTTAAGTTTCACGGGCATTCAGTTTTCACGGACGGACTCCCTGTGTGTTTCAGGCATTGAACTCTCTTCAGTCGTTTGAAGGCGTGCGCCGATGTCCCGGTCAGCGTCGATCGCCGCGCCCGGCCGCGTGGGCAGACTGAATGGGAACCGGATCCGGCCACGCAGCTCGTATGGTAATGTCCGACAGAGGAGCGACATGTACGGCCACCTCTGATAGGTGTATTCTGTCTGCGTATACACGGCGCAGTGAGCAGACTTAATTTGCATACCGGTTACTGCTAGTCCGATACGGCCCGAACGGGCGGGATATGTGCACCGGCGATACTAGCAGCGAGCAAAGCAGTTCACGGAACGGAGTTAGCCAAAGTAGATGGTATATAAATATCACATGACCTAGGGCTTGGCTTTATAAGTGTTAGCACTACCATCTGTAGCCTTGATAAGTGTCTTCACACGGTGTAACACCCTGAGTTATCGGCTGTATTGCGCGGCAGCTCGTTCATAATGATCGCCCAGACCTCTTCAGGGTTTATAAATAGCTATCGGCGATCACCTTGCTGTCTGGACCCCGCATCGACCTCAGGCGACTGGCTAACACCGAGCGAGACAGGACACTCGATACCGACTAACGAGCGGTCGATGAAGCTCCGACAGAGGCGCACTGGAGCTACCCTCCATCCGCGGCTGGGAGACAATCAAATCACCGACTGATGCGTCCGCACTTCCCACAGACGAAACTTTGCAACCGAGTTGGAGAAATAAAGGAAAACATGCCAAACTTTCAAAGGGTTTCGATCAGTGGAAATAGTGTGTCGAAGAAGAGAAAATTGTCTGCTTTGATATTGTGCAGGTGCGGATGGCTTGTTCTTCCAGTTCCTGTTACTTGTCAGTAATTTCAACATCAACCTTCGCTATGCTGCTTTACTCAGAAATGTATGGGTGTTCGTTCGGTGACAGGCAATCCACTCGTAATAGCTGCATCCGCATGCAAGCACATTTATCACGGGACAAAACCACTGTGCCAAATTCTACGGCCGCCTTTTTTTTAGTGTCCGTGACCGATCTATCAGCCTACGTTGGGTCGTGGGTCGAACGAGTGCAACATGAAGGCGAGTCCATGCTGCCCTGATCAACAGTTATATTTCTCCACTTAGCGGAAAAAACACTGACTGAAAAGGGACCAGACGCCCAGACCGACAGTGGATGCTGCCATCAATGAGATCTTACACATTTTACCGTCTTTTTCGGCACAGTAATGCACACGTGGCGGCGAAATTTAAATGCGACAAATGTAGGCCATGGATCGACTCGGTGTTCGCTTTAGCCCGGACCAGTCTGACCTATTCCGTGATGCCATTTAATGATCATTCCGTGACCGATGACAATGTGTCCCAGATTGTGACCACAAATGTCATGCAAATATCGCCCGGAGAATAAATTCAGCCGAAATGGTATAGCGACTGACGTAATGTCGGCACGACGCTCGATACGACGCACTGTTACAATTACCAGAACTACGAAACCGTTGGATTTCCCCGCATTTCTTCTGTATGTTTAGCACGGAATGATTCACCGCAGTATGACAGCCCGTCCTATTGTCTCATTTTTCACAGTAACTGTAACAAGCATGACCACAACCTGCACATCATTGCACGCTGTACAAGTTAGTGCAGCAGTACCGACAGTGGGCAGTAGCCAGTCCACACTGTAGTAAAGTGATCTTGAGTCCACCAACCTTTATAATAGTAGAGGCAGTACTCTGAGAGGACAAACCAACGCGTCTTCCAGAGTCGCAGCCGCTCCGAGCCCTGTTTGTCCAGCCATCCCCGCAGTGTGACGGGCGCCTCGGGGGAGCGGCGGGCCTGCGGGCCGCGCAGGGTGCCCCGCTGAAACACAGGGGAGAGCGTCAGAGGGCAGCGGGCAGCGGGAAGCGGGGCAGACAGCTGTCAGCTGTCAGGTGTCAGCGGGCAGTGGGCAGCGGGAAAGGGACAGCGGTCAGCGAGCAGCAAACATGGGACAGCGGATATGAGTCACAACATTGGCAGATTCTATCTTTTAAGTAATTGGCAGAATTAATTTGAGCATGACTCCGGTCTTGGGATCTGTGTTACAATATCGATGTTCCCGTCTGATCTCTCTGTCCTTCCGGATACTCGCGTGAGTTGATGACAGAAACTTCAGTTGGTTCGTGAACAACATGATACCTTCCAGGACCAGAACAAGTGTTAATATCTAACGGCTGTCTAACGGGAGATGTCAGGTGTGTGATGCTCACTGGTCGCTAATCACGGCACATTCTCTCCGCTCCAAGCGTGGGAGGAGGAACGGCGACCGATGGCGGGCGGGCGCTAACTTTGTTCATCGGCACGGTGCCGGCGCGGCAGAACAGATCGGCTATTGATCCGTCCCTGTGGCACCTGCCGCCGCCTTCTCCAGAGGCGGGGATTCCGAGCACGCACGGTGGCGAGCGGAGGGTATCGTGGCTCAGGTGTAACCGCCGGCTCTAAACCACTTCATAATGCAAAGGTGGGCTCAGCGCGGCATGTGACCGACTGGTAGACAGACTCCTATGGGAACACTATTGTTAATATGCGGTTCAACGCCGGCATTCGTATGTTCAGGTGTTCCTATAAAGTTTTGTCAAAAAAAGGCTACTGTCTTTGAAAGCTCAGTGTACAAATTACGAGTTATTACATCTATGAGTCATTAGTCTATGAGAACTATGCGTACGAGTCATTACATAAGGATTGCTGTCTGGTGCATACACAAGTCCGACACTCGTCAAATACTGAATGGTATTTTAAACACGTAGCGGGATTAACGGCAATCAACGTCAGTTTTAAGACATATTCTTGAAAACACGTTTATCAGTTTGACAAGTTAAACCCCCATCAAATATAATTACGTCTTCAATAAAATCGAATCATGAAGTCATGTCGACATCGAAATCGGTGAAGCCATGTCAATCCTCAAAAATAATAAAAACGTACTCATCAATAAGTCCAAAAAGAGCAGCTCACGTTACCGAACTTTTACCGAATACCTACTGGCCCAATGAAAGGCAGAAAGCTTTGTAGCTGAGTGATAATTCGTTACAGAGGGAGCCCCTCCCATCAGGCAGCCTGGGCGGACGCGCCGCGGAATGCGCCGATTGTTTGTTCGTCGGGGTTTCGGTACTAACCTTCTTGGCCTCCATAGTGCCAGCCGTTATCTTTGCGGGATCATGCGGCGCTCTGAAACAGACGGAGACAAAGATCAGATCAAAGATACGATCGGCGGGCAGCTCCTAATTACTGTCATGTCAACACAAACACTCGGGGACCCGCCTATCTGATGCACACTGTCTGCCGGCGGCACGGGGTCTCACTATTTGTTTTCGCCGAGACTGGAGCTGGTTACGACGTCAGGCGGCTTTCTTTTCAGATCTTTTCGCGTCCGCGTGCCACTGGGCCCGCACCGCCTTTGAAGTGAACAGGATTTCCTCAGTGGGCTATGAAGGCCGCGAGCCTGCATAGTGTCCCAGGTAAGGACAAAGCAGCGTTTGTTCGAATCACCAGCCAGCTCTATTATTCATTGTTGGGTTTTGTGATGAATCAATAAAGAGGATGGAAACTTTTGGCATGGGCAGGGGTCGTTCATCTAATGAAACTATTTAGAGCAGCACGCAAACCACAAAAGCGGTTTCACATAAATGGCAGAAGTTTTTGACGGCTATGTCACAGACAGAAAGAAATATGCGCCATTGTCACAAAGTTTGGGAGGTCAATGTGACCTTATCGTCAGAGGACACGTGGGTCCTACAATGGTGGCCTATAGGTGTCCTTCCCGTCCTTCCCGAGTGTCCTTCAGTGACTGCATGATGCCCCGCTCACCGCTACCCCTTGTGCTGCCTGTAACCGCGTTGATCTCCCTGCGAACGTGTTGTCATGTTGTGACCGCGCCTTTACGAGAGGATTTCCCAGTGACTGCGCTGCCCTCCGTGTGACCGTGTTGTCCTCCTCTGACCGTAATATCATGCCCGTACCCGCGGTATTTGCGTTCGTTCCGGTCTGACCGGCGCCGCGGGCGGGTCGGCCTGTCCGGCTGACCAATAAACCCCGGCTGGAATGCGGGCGCACCTAGCCGCGATGACGCGGCATGGCAGAGGGGCCGCCCGGTGTCACCTCTGCCGGCCGGGTCGGGGTCACGGTCGGCAACATTGGGACTGAGGCGGGCCGCCGAGCCTGCCAGGGCCAGGGCCACCCGGGCTGCCGCTGATGCTGGGGAAGCCAGAGATGCCAAAGAACAGAGGGCCGGGCTGCTCTTCAGGCTGCCAAAGCTTCTGTTGAGGCAGCCATGGGATGCCATCGATCACGACAAGGCCCAGTCACGGGGCGGGTCCGGTTCGTGAGTTGTTGACCGTGAGGTGAGGTCAGATCGACTGCAGATTTCGGCCGGGGTCAGCCCGCCGCGCCGGTATGGCAGGTATGCGGCCTATGTATCCAGTCACAGGGTTCGGGCCGGGCCGGGGCAGACTCCACCACCGTGCACAGTGACCACCGCGTGCACAGGGTGATTGCCGCCGCGTGCACAGACACCGGGCGGCGGAGGACGCCATCTGGTCCGGAGCACGCCACCCGCCCGTTTGATTTATTCCCATCCGTACACCGTAAATCTCCACAGTGACGGGAAGGCTGCTCAGGAGAACGGTAATCGCTCTGTTCATTTGCTGCGTCTTGCACACCGGTCACGCACTATCACGAGCACGTTCACAGGATAATTTGTGCGTAAATCACGGCGGACAGCTGTGTAGACGTGAGTCAGGAAACGTTTACAGCAGTAGGGAGGCTGCTCCCGAACTGTAGGGGTCTGACGCACCAGCAGAGAGGTAACGTCTGTTATACATGCAGTATGAGTATGCGCTATGTCATGTGTGTCGTGTAGCATGCTGAGCAGCCCCTCTGGTTACACACGCACAACGGTGTGTCCCGCAATAAGTCATTCACCCGTCTGGCACATACAGTCATGTGCCGTGTACCAAGCCATGAAGGTAATACACCTACGAGTACAGCTATGTGTCGTGTACCACGCCGAGTACCTGTCTGTGAGTACCTCGCGTGCTCAGACAATCGGCGCCGGCCCGTCGCCCGGTTCACCCGGCCTCTGATTAACGTGAGAGAGTTCCCACCTGTAGCGTCGGCAGGTGACGGTTTAACGCACCATTCCGCGGTAAATCACCGATTGTTCGAGAGTCGAACGGCTCGGAGAGGAGCCTGGGCATACGGAGAAGGCGACTGCATGGCGCCTCGGTCAGGCCGAGACCCAGCTCAGACTATCCAGAATGGCAATGGAGGCAACGACCACTTTGCAAATACCAACCTATCGTAGGTATGCATTATGTAAAATGTCCGTTGTTGATTTTTTTCTGATGCGCGTATTTTGCATTGTTCCTCACACAATACTGCGGTAGAGCCGATTTCATTTTTAAGTGGCTCAGATTACTGGTTCAGCAGAAAGCAATACAAACATGCCACCGAACATTTCCTTATAACCTGGAGGTCTAGGTAAAATCTAGCGGCGGCTGCAGCTTAGCGAGCACGCACTGTATATAGACACAGTTTACGGCAGTGATGTGGGTCCAGTGGCAGCTTAACTGAGATAGATTATAATCTCACCACACCGCATACCTACTGCAGTGTGCCGCTCTTTGGGTAGAGTTCAATGACATGAACAAGAAAAGTTTCCCGAGCAATGCTCGGCATCGAAGCTCCATCGCAGTGATTGCCGTGGGCGGTCGAAATAAACATCCTCTACACAAGACGACAGCTTCATTATCAGACCTGAGCACTTCCTTACATCGAATGTAATGCCTTGCCACAGATAGCCAGCACAGTGCTCTGAATTATTTAGACAGCCAATTAGCCTGGAATCGGCTCCAATATTTTCTTCCATGGCCATTGGCCACTGACAGCATGCTGACCAGGGGGCCTCAAATTAGACACAACGATGCCGGGGCGGACAGTGGGGAACCCAGCCGCGATCGGAACGAGACCGGAAAGGTTCGGGCACGATCATCAGGATCAGAACGGGACCATATGAGATCAGACTGGATCAAAGCGGGACCAGGATCAGCAGGATCGGAATGGGACTGAATGGGACAAGACAGGGTCAGCAGGGATAAGACGTGGACCATGCGGGATCAAAGCAGGATCAGCAGCATCACACCGGGATCAGCTTGGATCAGAACGGTATCGTCAGCCGGTATCGTCGCCTCCCGACAGCCGATGGCCGCCGCCCGGTGAGCCGAGGAATGTTCATTACGGCCGGATCGCAGCAGGTCCCGGAGAACGGGACGGGCGCATACCGACCGAGGCACGCCAATAGAGCAGATGCAGGTCGGAGTGCGAGTCGAATGGTGATCGATGTGCTGTGGGTAAATGCTGGGGACAAACGCACAGGAGGGGAAGTGAGGACTCAGGACAGAAAGGAACGATGGGTGGGACGAGAGCGGAATCAAGTCGGCACCCATAGGGGTCAACTAACGTCAGAGATTATTCAGTTCCAGTTCACCACGGGCACGTGCCGCTGCGCCCTGCCCCAGATTCCTCCGCGGGTCGTATGACTAGTAGGAAGCGTCTCCAGCACCCCGGATCCTTCAGGGAGACCCCTTACCGTGCCGCGGCCACCCGGAACCTCCTCAGATCCTGCCACGCGTGACCTCCCCGCCCCACATCCCACCGTCAGGCCGGCAGTGTTGTCAAGGAGCAGGTAAGTGCCCTCGGCGGTCGGGTCTGGGGTGTCCGAATCCCATAGGTCGCCGCCGGTCACGGTTTAACGCCGGCGATCCGGCGAGAGGCGGCTGACCGCCCAGGGACCACCCAGGCCGGGGAGGAATGTCCGACCTCCGGCCTCCTCCGCACCAGCTGGACGGGTCGGCCCCGCTCTGATACAATTCCACCTCCACCAGTAGGTACCGACTCTAGCCCAGTCCTTTCCGGACCGGACCTAACATGACTCAGTCCAGCTAGTCAGACTCCATGACAACTCAACCTGCCCCAACTCAAACACCTTTTCTGGACCAATCAGACTCTAACACCATCCATCCCCATCTCCCGTCTCTTTTCCAGCCATACCTCCGCGGCCACCCAGCGCTGCCGTCTCACAATGCGTCAGGCCCAGCCTCCGTCCGTTTGTGATCGTCCGCCCGCTACGGCCGTTTAGCATCACAATATCTCATCACGGCCCAGCCGAGAAAGGCGGCATCCTCTGAACCGGGCCGAAACGGCGGACGGCGGAGGATCGGAGCCACGTCATCACTCAACCAGCCACGGTACGCAGTGAGCGGATCAGCGCCAAAAGGCGAGCAGGCCGGCGCCTTAGAGGGAGCGAGTCCACGTCTCAACGCTAGTTCTGTGTTAATGTTAGGGTGAGGTGATACAAAGTCGACCGCTTGCATCGTCTCTGGCCCAGCCCAGGTAGCCTTCAGTTTTGCAGGCGGGAATTGATGACTACGTCGAAGCTTTCCTTTCAAGCAGCAGGGCACCGAACGGGCCCCGACCCTGTGGAGGCCACTGGTCGGACGTCGCAGCGACCTCCAGTCCCAGTTTGGGTGTTTGGCGAGTTGCCTCTCCTCCATAGGGGCCGGTCAGGGGCCCCCAATCAGCCCGTCCAGCGGCGGTGGTCGCGGGTGGAGCTCCGCCGAGACGGCCGTAGATAGGCCGCGTTGGCCCCCGTTCACCCGGAAAACCCGTGAACGAGTGGGAAGCAGTTACCGAGACTGACAGGCCGGCCGATTGGCGGCGGCCGGGCCAATCTGCACGACCGATAAAATGGGGCGGCGTGCAGCCCGATCGGACCGAGGCCGGCTGGGCTCGGTAGCTGGACGGCACTGGGTTCCGTGCACCGGTTATACGGTAATAATGCGGGCATTCAGAGCAGATTGTGGTCAACTCCTGTTATCGTCATCCAATATCCGTTACAAAAAGACGATTTAGGCCAGTAATGTGTGCAATTAGAGTATCACGAGCCATGGCAAAGAACTGTAACAGGTCTGATATAAATACACGGTACAAGTCAATCCCACATCAAAGCCAATCATGTCCAAATAATGACCTGCGTTGCTATGTTCAACGTTCCTCTAGCATATCGGCAGACCAGGAGCCCCATGATGATTGATTCCGTTCGGACCTGCGAGATGTTCCACATTAGCTGACTTGGAGTGGATTTCCCGACTTGGAGGTGCGTGTCTGATGGT